TGTTGAACCCCCTTTTGCATTAATTACAACCTTTAGTCCCACAAAATTAGGAAAATTATATTTTAAAGTTATTATTATTATCATACATAATTCATTATATATTTGAAAAATTAGATAAAAATTATATATTTCAATAAAAGTTAAACATCTTATACATGCATGCAATGTTAAAGGGGTCATATGATGTTGCTAAAAATAACATTATTTTGTGTATTTGGTGTAATGAAATGTGTTTATGCGGTTTAAGGTAAAAAAAACACACATTATTTTCCACATACTGTACATTATTGTTTCTCCTCTATGCCCTGCCTTTCTGAAACGCGTCAATTTTTACAAAGCTCATCGGTCTGAAAAGCGAGGTGTGCTCTGATTGGCCAGCTATCCAGTGCGTTGTGATTGGCCGAATACCTCAAGCGTGTGACGGAAATGTTACGCCCCTTACCATATTGTGATGATTCCCTGTCAGGCCGGAGCGATGATTCAAAAACATGAAAACCCATTATAAACGAGGCATTCGTTGCATCCAGTGGGGACATAATTACGGATTATAATGACTTATACTGTCTTTTTACGCGTTGCATCATGCCGCGTAAACATAAAACCATGTCTGCATTTGTGATCGGAGAAATGACAAACAACAAGTGATACTCTACTCTGCTCAAAACTCGCGTTTGAATCATCAGTGGCAAATTCTTTAAATATAAAAAACGTACTCACAATCTGTGAGTCAGAACAGCCGGCATTGTAGTGGCTGACTCTTAACTTTTATAAAGAATATCTCTTTGGATTTGAGACTTTAGTATTTGCAACTTTACAGATCTTCTTTATGCACCAAGAGCTTGTAACACGCCAAAGAGAAAGGAAAATTGAAATCGCATCGTATGACCCCTTTAAATAATCATATGAAAGCTGAATAAATAAGCTTTCCATTGATGTATGGTTTGTTAGGATAGGATAATATTTGGCCGAGATACAACTATTTGAGAATCTGGAATCTGAGGGTGCAAAAAAATCTAAATATTGAGAAAATCGCCTTTAAAGTTGTCCAAATTAAGTTCTTACCAATGCATATTACTAATCAAAAATTTAGTTTTGATATATTTACAGTAGGAAATTTACTAAATATCTTCATGGATCATGATCTTTACTTAATATCCTAATGATTTTTGGCATAAAAGAAAAATCAATAATTTTGACCCATACAATGTATTTTTGGCTTTTGCTACAAATACAGCGACTTAAGACTGGTTTTGTGCTCCAGGTTCACATATATATAACATACATCAATTTATGTATTATATTTGGGGGTAAAATGTGACCCGGACATGTTTTTGTGACATTCACCTAACTAGATCCCACCAAAACAAATTCAGGAGTCACAGCTGCGCTCAAACTTATTGATCCAAAGAAACCTTAATTTCCTACCCCTTCACGCCTATCTCAACCTTTCCTCTGGTCCTCTAGCGGCACCAGGTCCTCTGAGGTGGTCTGAGCAGACCCTGGCAACAACAAACAGTTAATTTTTCTGTAGAGACCCTCTCTCTCGCCATAGTCCAACCAGATTGGCCCTTTCTTCTGGGACAATTTGCTACTGGCTGACTGGGCTCAAACAAAACCAGGGAAAAGGGAGATGGGTACAAAGGGGGGATCCCAGCAGAATCTGGCATCGTTCCCGTTCATCGGAGAGCTGAATGCCCCTCATACACACACGACATCATGAGACGCATTACATAATGCTGCACTCAGAAATGTTTGGACGAGAATGATGAGAAACGAGGTGTTTACTACTCGGGATTGGGAACTAACTTGGAATTTTTGTAAAATGTATCTACATTTTTTGGTCATATTTATATGGGCACAAATCAAATAAATTCTGAAAGATTATAAATATGACAAAACCCTCAATAAAACTGTGGACAGATCTCCAGTATGCCTTAGAAGTTCAAGAAAAGTATGCTAGATCCAGGCGACTCATTCCTTCCTTCTTTTCCCCCCTTTTGCTCGCCCTCTCCCACCCCCAATTGTCCCACCATTTGCTCAAAGTAAATTCTCATTAAGATCCAAATTGTTTTCAGATGCTGGCCTGGTCCGGTTGCCATAGCAACCAGCTGGGAGGCAGCGAGGAGCGCTGGCAGTGGAATGGACAGCACCGGATCCAAAGCCCACAGTGCAAAAAAACCCCTCTCTTTGCCAGGCTCCACTAAGCCCATTCTGCCTGGCACAATGCAGACTGACGGAGTCCATTCTGCACTTTACAAATGGTGAGGAAGCTCCACTGGAGAGGCCTCAAGACGAGTCATACGATTTCACACACACACCTCGGCCTGAGATGTGCTTAACACATCAGTTTGAGTTGAGGTAAACAACGACGCCTCAATGCACTGTCTGCAACTTTAGAAAACAGAATGAGAGCTCAGTATGCATAACAATGACAACGTACTTCTATATATGACAATAGAACACTATAGCTTACTCATAGTACTTTCATTTGTAGTACTACTATTTTTTACTTATTTTCTAGTTTTATTTACTATAGTTTTTACACTACTCTAAAATACATTTGAAAAATAGCGTAAAATATAGAACCTAAAGTGACATGGTGGTGTAAAATATCTGAACAATATTTCAAAAATGTTTGTGTGCCCCAGAGAAGCGGTGTTCCTTTGCAAAACGTTTTTCATTCCCTGCAAAACCCTGGTGTTCTCTTGCAAAAACACATTTGCTCATGAAATTTTAGCGTTCCCCTGAAAATAATGCTTGCGTTCCCCCAAGAAAATTTGGGTTTAATCGCAAAATATTTGTGCTTGCTCTAAAAATGTTTGTGTTCCAAAGAAAACCTTTGGGTTCATGTGCAAAACCTTTGCGTAACCCCAAGAAACACCACGAAACTTTGCATTTGCTTGCAAAATCTTTGCATTCCACTGAGAAACGTTGCTCGCAAAATAATTTTTGTTATACCAAAAAACTTTGCAATTTGTGTTCCTCTTTTGTGAGCGTTCAGTCCCAAAATGTTTGTGTTTTCTCCAAGAATCTTTGCATTCGCTCACAAAACCTTTGCATTACCCATAGAAACTTTCTTTTAGGAGCTGTGCTTGGAAATAGCTGCTTGGGAGCGTGACCAAGATGGCCACCGAGTGACTTACCCACTCTACGTTACTCTCCTAAATAAAGCAAATAGATTTAAATAATCATGTGTCAGTCAAACCAATACATAACAACCTGAAACGTCTTTGTTTGACTTCACATTACAAGTTCATTGGGGGGTGGAGACCAGATGGTCCATGAGCCTTTAGGGCTTGTAAGCCTTATGTTTAGATTAAGGACCTTTGACTGCACTTTGTGTTCATTCATTACAGGTATCAGCTGTGTGTAACAAAACATCTTCACCCTTATTCACAGCCTATTAACCTACAAATAAACCAGGTCAAGCTCAAGGGCAGCTAAACCGTGGTTATTAAGTACCATGGATTTATCCCGACTTACATTAGTAGTAGTTGAGGTCTATGAATTTACAACAGCTTCAATGCACATTATTTACCGATTATTTGTCTTATTAAGATTTATGCACATTAAGTAATCCAAACAATCATAAATCCTTAAACAGTCTTGAAAACACCTTGGAATCCATAACATCCAAACGTGCTGCAAAAATCATAAATCAACAACCCAGAAAGTCATAAAAAGTAGCATTCTGTGGTATTTGGGAAAAGACTGTGAGCACATTTATCATCATAAAGTTTTTCTGCAATTTGAGAGTAAAACTGATGGCTTTACAGAGTACATAAACAGCAAACAGTACAGTAAATAGACCTGAACTTGCCAATTATTCAGACTCTTGCACTGAAGTACACAATACGGCTGTACTTGCATAAAGTCTGAACATGCAGTTTTAAGGTTAATGAGAGTTTACCCATTAAATGCCCAGACTTCATTCTAAACCAATGTTTTGTGAGCTGTGTGGCAATTATAAGTCACACATAGACAATAACCTAAATGTGTCAAAATAACAAAAAATCTCTAAACACAATATATATAAAATACGAGTAAAGTTATAGAGGTCTGCTACATATAAAAGTATAAACATACACACATATATGTAAATTATTTGTATTTGTAAAGCATAACTTTTAATACACGATGTATTTTGCATATTTTATATTACATTACATTACACACACTCACATATATATATATATGTGTGTGTGTGTGCTTGCACTGAAGTACACAATACGGCTGTACTTGCATAAAGTCTGAACATGCAGTTTTAAGGTTAATGAGAGTTTACCCATTAAATGCCCAGACTTCATTCTAAACCAATGTTTTGTGAGCTGTGTGGCAATTATAAGTCACACATAGACAATAACCTAAATGTGTCAAAATAACAAAAAATCTCTAAACACAATATATATAAAATACGAGTAAAGTTATAGAGGTCTGCTACATATAAAAGTATAAACTTACACACATATATGTAAATTATTTGTATTTGTAAAGCATAACTTTTAATACACGATGTATTTTGATATTACAATATTACATTACATTACACACACTCACATATATATATATATGTGTGTGTGTGTGTGTATATATATATATATATATATATATATATATATATATATATACATAATATATTATAATATTAGCCTATTTACAAATAAATATTGAAATATAACAAATATATTATACATCACATTCATATATATTACAATATTTAAAATGAGTATATGAACATTTTTTTATATTAATAGAATTTAATTATTAAAATGATTTATGGGCAGTTATAAACTGTGCAAAATATCCTAGACACAATGAATGTGGTTCTAAATGAACGTCTTGTCAGTAAGTCTGGTCCAGTTGTTGTCTAGTTCAGTCCAACCTGCAATCACCACCGCTTATTCTGTTTCTATGGTTACAGTACGCGACACTGTCGTGAACTACTCTACGCTTTACGGCAGCCGGTTGTCAGTTGCTGCATGTGGCACCATGTGAGTGCCGAATAACAGAGAACGGCCAAGAACTGAATGTATTCGGAAAGCTATTCATTGTCTGATAAACGATCACATAATAGTGTATCGCCGGGCAGCTCTTTTGCATTCGAAAGCGCTTATAAATATATTATTTTTGTGATGTATCCTTTTGGCGATGAGTAACTGTGCATTCTGGTATCATCTGTGCTTTAGAGATGCTGTATTTGATCGGTCTTGGTCTGGGCGATGTTAAAGACATCACTGTTAAAGGTTTAGAGATCGTCCGGCAGTGTAGTCGTGTTTATCTGGAGGCTTACACGTCCATACTGACCGTCGGGAAGGAAGCTTTGGTATGTGGATGATTAAACACATTATAGTGTCTGAATCCTGACAGCTCGATATGCATCAGTCAAAACCAGATGAGTGCATTTTGAAATATTGCGTTAATATGAGATGGGGACATACTCACGTCTTCTGCAATATGCTGGTCGATGACAAATAATGCCTGAAATGATAAAAGGACTTTTTGAACATCTAGTTTAAAACACACATGCCCAGATATGCAATATTTGTCTTCATAACTGTTTCAGACATTTTTAAAAAGGTAAAATAGGATTTAATCATTCTAAAAGAAAGTTCTAATAAACGTTCATTAAAGTTTTCATACATATAATTCATAGTAAAAAAAAAAAAGTTTTAGAAATGTTTGAATCATGAATATTATTTTGGAGTTACTCACTTGTTTGACCCGAACTAGCTGTGTCTTTTCATAAAAAGGTCTAAATATATGATATTTTTAAGAACCTGACTCTACAGGTGTCCTCTCTTTGATATAATTTCCTGTTTAATAGTTTCTTGTCACATGACAACAAAATTGACAACTTCTTGCACCACACTGATTATTTAGCTTTTAATTTTAAAAAATAATATTTTCCCCCATAATTACCTTTTTTTTTAGCCTTTTATTGGATATTTTTCACTACTTTGACATTTTGAGCCCACAAAAAAATATCAGAAGGAATATTATTTGGAAATGAAAAATATTTTCATCATTGAAATGGTATATTCAAGTTCTTTAATGTATAGTTTTGAATAATTAGTGAATCAAAACTATTTAAATGAAAAGTAGAAGTTTTTTCTTTCATGGTTTGTTTCAACTTGTCCATAAGGAAATTCAAACATATTTATTTTAATCTTTAGATCATTGCTTGTTGATTTTGTCATTTGTAAGTCACTTTGGATAAATACATCTGATAAATGAATAAAATATAAATATATATTACATTTACAGATATAATATTGAATTTTTATATGTCTCTGAAAACTAATACTAAGAATTAAACTTTGTCCTTCAGATCAAAAAAGTGCAGCACTTGATACAATCTGACATGAACTTTCAGAAACATCAGAAATACTGATATTTCGCACTCACATTTATGGTGCCGTTGTGTTCTGTCTCAGGAGGAGTATTATGGGCGCGAGTTGCTGCTGGCAGACAGAGACATGGTGGAACAACAGGCAGATGAGATCCTGAAGGGAGCAGATGTCAGTGATGTTGCTTTTCTAGTGGTTGGTGATCCTTTTGGGTAAGACTAACTAACTTACTTCAAGATCTACAGTAGCCAGTTTCTGCGGTTAAAGTAATATTTAATCAATGTGTGACAATAACTGCAAACTTGTCCTGAACTAAAATATCCATCAATGAGGATTAACCCTCAACAGTATATTTTGGCAACTTTCATTTATGAGGTTTCTATGCATATTTGTCATATGATGCACCTCATGTTGCCATTGTTTTGACTCACCCATAACTTGCAATCACATATGCCACAATCCCACAAGTGCAGTGACTCATCAGAAAATCTAAATCCAGACATTACACAGACTTGCATTGGAAAGCTTTTTCACTGGCCTATCCGAGTCAGATTTCATTATTAATAAAGAAATTATATGAGAAATTGGAGAAAATGTTCAAACTTATTTGGCTAATAAACTCCATTCTGATTCCGATAATGCCCACAAAAACAATTAAGTGCACTTGAAAGCATGCACTCCTCAAAATAATTTTCCCTTTAAACCATAAGTGTAAGGGGAAAAAAAGCCCAACCGAAGATAAATAATGGAAATGTTTCCTAAGAAATGTTTATTAGTGCCTGAAGAGCCACAGAGTGGTTGAGCACTAAAGCTCTGGGGTGCAGCATTGTCTGTCTTACCAGTAGTGGACGTCTGAGATGTGGGTACTTTGGAAACGCTCCAGAAGAGATGAGCTAATTACGCCGCACTTTACCGTCTCGGTCGCTTCTAGTCATGGTTGAGCTTTGCGTGGTGTTTGGCTCCAGCGTTTTTCCAGCCAATCCACCGAAACCCACATAGCGGGAATGGGGATGGGGGTCTGACTCCTCATTTTTCTGCACTTCAGAATGTGTGGGTTTAATAAATGTAATGATATATTCAAGATCGAAAGGATAAGCGTTTTTGGTACAATTTGGATTACTTCATTACCAGCGCAACACAGTAGTAAGAAAGATGTTGATAAGTAGCCATTTTTCTGCGGTTGGCGCATGTTTTGGAGTCGTGTACACACACACAAAAAAAACTGCATTTCTTCTGTCCAGAGCTACTACCCACAGTGACCTGGTTCTGCGAGCGTTGAATGCTGGGATTCAGTATCGCGTTATTCACAATGCCTCCATCATGAACGCGGTGGGCTGCTGTGGATTGCAGGTAAGGCTAGAGTTGCAGTCACATATACTGTAATTCGGCGAATTTTCGTGGGCGAAATCCAGTCAATAGCAATCAACAGGATTGGGAATGTCACATGTGGGCGAAAGATTTTCCCACACAGATTTCAAATTGGTCATGCAGATTCGCCGCTTTGACCAACAGAAAGCAGTTCGGTTTGAAAGTGACTTCTGTGTGAGTTGTGCTTCACACATTGCTACACTATTACCAATAGACCTTATTTGCCCCCGAAATTTTGCAGAAAATTCAGTAATGCTACCGTACCTCAACTCAGTGCTTCCCCATGGTGTCATTGTCAACATGTACTTTCCAGAGACTGTACTTCGCTATCGTGCGTCATTCGTGCCCAGTCTCTCGTGAACATGATCAAACGGCATTGTGGCCTTTGTGTCGTAGGCGTCCCAGCGGAGTCTATCAACGAAGCCTACTGGCCATCAATAACAGCCCCCTGTATTGACCTGTCAGGGCAGCTTTGTGTACCAAGAGGCCCCAGATGCCGTCCTAAGCTCACGATAGGCGTCTTCAGATGATCTGAGATTAGCGGTGCCATTTCTAAAGGATATTATTTAGGTAGGAAAAGCAGGTCCTAAATCATCTACTGCAGCTGCTGATCTCAGGTACAGAGGGATCTGGAAGGTTAACACACGCTTTGCAGTTTCTGTTTGGGTGTAGATCATGACACACTAATTGGAAGCAATCAACTACTACTATGATTGGAGAGATACGGCATATGTCACTAAAGAGAAGTCTGTCAGTTCACCGGAAGATCGAGTTATGACATTTTGATTAAAAATTGCATGAATCAATTGGAAACAATAAGATCAGCTTATTAAAAATGGAACCTCTGTCCTTGTGTTGTTCCAAACCTGACTGACTTCCATTCTTCCGTTAAACACAAAAGAAGATATTTTGTCAAATGTTTCAACTGTTTTTGTTCATACAATGAAAGTCAGTGGGGTCCAAAACAACATTGGACCCCACTGACTTTCATTGTGTGGAGAAAACATTTTTCATGTTCAAAATTTTTCTTCTTTTCTTAGACTATCAGCATGCTAAAACCTGCAGAGCCCTGCACATGCCATTCAGGAAAAAATAGATATCATGTCCACTAACTAAAAATATGTTCCCATAACGAATTGATTTGTGGCCATGTTTTAGTTATATCGTTTGCATTTTATCAAACTTTAATCTGTTTAATCAATACTGTTTACTTAATCCGTTCCCTTGTTTAGGTAAGTAAAGGCTACGCTTGTTCCCTCGTTTTAATTTTATTTGATTTAGGGAGGGAAGGAGAAAATTAGTAAGTTGTGGGTACTGGGTATGATATCTTGTTTACAGGGCCCAGTAAAATGTCTCTTAATACCCTTTAAGTCACCACTGCTGAATTTGTTATAGATAAACAAAAAGGAATTCATCTAGGACTCTAGTTGTCCTCACTAACTGACTAGGTCAGGGATGTCCAAACCTGCTCCTGGAGGGCCACTGTCCTGCAGAGTTTAGCTCCAACCATAATTAAACACACCTGAAGCAGCTAATCAAGGTCTTCAGATTCACTAGAAACTTCCAGGCAAGTGTGTTGGAGCTGGACTCTGCAGGACATTGACCCTCCAGGAGCAGGATTGAACACCCCTTGACTTGGTAGATGTGGGACGACTTCAGCACTACCTATATGTTTGTTCATATCGCACTAATATGATCTTCAGAGGGTCTGTAGGACCTAAAGTAACTGGTAACAAGTCTGCTTGCTGTAATGTTACTTTGTTGTGTCAGCTGTGCGGCACTCTAGTGTTCAGAATGATGTCATGCTTACTGAATAACAGGAAGCACCTTGTCAGTGGCTAAACAGAACTGGTTACTCGTGAACACAGTGACCAATGCAAAATAAGATCTAGTGTGAATATGAATGTGATTGCATTTTCCTCCTTAGCTGTACAACTTCGGGGAGACAGTGTCCATTGTGTTTTGGACAGACACATGGAGACCTGAGAGCTTCTATGATAAGATCAAGAAGAACAGGGATATGGGCCTGCACACGCTGTGCCTGCTGGGTGAGCTCTTCCTTTGAGTCTTTGTGAACGAGATGTTCTAATTAGAAAGAAAGTTATATGATGTCATGAACACTCACAATTGGCAGATTCTCCGGTCTCTTGGCTCACTTCCCCAAGCAAATTTCCATGCATGTATGTGTGTTTCATCTTTAACAGTCACTGTAACAATTAATGTGTCAAAACCAGAAGCGACGACCCCTGTATTTTGACATCCCGTCAAATAGGCATTTCCCTTCAGGGTGCACATTAAGCTTGGACCCATTGCAAATGCTTTGGTACCCCCAAGGCAGATGGTCGCAAATAATTTACGTTTATATCCGTGTGCCGTGGAGATTTCCAGCCAACTCTTAATAAACCCCTGTTTTCCAAAGTACCAGTGGGATTTCCCATTTGAAGGCCTCTACTGGTCAGGGGTTGTGTCTCATTGGCTGGCAGGACAGAGGGGGAGGGGCGGGAGTCCCCAGGTGCTTCCCAGCTGAGGAGTCGGAGAGCAAGAGCGAGGACAAAAATGAGCAAGAGAGGGATCAGGGTTATTAACCTCATTATTCAAAAGCAAACAGAGGAAGGCGGGGATCGGACACCTCCCCGTCCACCCTTGGCCGCAAGAGCGCTTATCTAACACAATAAGCTGCAGACACAACAAAAGCACACACACACAAACAAAACACAGGGAATCTACACTGCATCCATTCATCATAATGCTGCTAACAAGACGTGGGCTATTAATCAAGCTGGCAAATATTGGTTAATTTATTTGCTGGTGTTTCTAAATTAAATTCAAAAATAAATTTAGATTTGTAATTCCAAAAAATCTGACCCAGTGTCTACAACCAGACGTGAAATTGTTCCATTTAAATTTTTTGATACACTACTCTGCTACCCCAGCCACATTTTTCTCTATCCAACTAAAAAAATAAAAGTGATTTTGTTTTACTAATATCAAATTTTTTAAGGATTTGTCAGTTTTTGTTTCATTTTTTTTTCTTTTTTTACAAATATAATTAATTATGAATTTTATGTCAGTTTCTCCATTTCAATTTTTTTTCAGAAATATCATTAATTATAAATTTGCTGGGTTTTTTAAACAAATATAATTGAGTTTTGTGTAAATTTGCTGTTTTTTAAACATCGTTAATTGATTATTTATTTTATGTCAGTTTTAAATTTCTGCAAAGCTGTTACGGAAAAAAATTTGATTTACATACATTTTATTTGCCATTTATTTGTCAGTTTTGATATTATATTTCCATTTATAACGAAAGTAGGAAACAAAGAAATTGTCCTATTTTATTGTAGCTGAAGTTTGGCCTTGAACTTTCATATGATTGGTCTGTTATTTATTAACATTTTGAGGTTAATGTTGCCACTTTCAGTTGTAGATATGGTGTGAGAACATGACTGGTCATGATTTGTACATCTGTCTTTGTTCTCAATATGGAGCCCTCTCAGGTGCAGTCTGAAAATGTACTCGCGCTCCAGACTGAGTGGGGTTAACAGTCCCAAATGGAGAGGCAACCTAATATTTATGTGACATTAACATCCAGAGAGGCCTAGTTTATAAAACCCAAGCTTATTGTATCGTACAACACTTACAACTCCCTTGTTTCGCAGATATCAAAGTCAAAGAGCAGTCCATGGCGAATTTAATGAGGTAAGACTCTCTCACTTTCTAATTTTCTGTGGGGTTGAGTGGGTTCTGCTGATTTATATCTAGTCTGTGGTGCTTTTCCAGGAGGGTGGAATTGTGGTTTACAGCAGACATTGAGTTAACATTCATGCAAGTTGCTGGGGGCAGACTGGTCGAGTTGGAAAAAAATAACAAAAGTAAAAAACGTGGCCACTTGTTTGACTTGGACACATGATATGTTATCATGGACCTTCCCTGGGCCGCCTCCAGAACTGCCATGGTATAATTTTCCCATCTGAAGCCTTCAGAAATATGTTTATCGGCAACAGTGAACTTCATCAACTGCTTTCAAACATGAACATAAAGTCTTTCTGAAAAACTTTCACTGGTGTTGAATTTTTTTTTTCGTTGTAGAAGACGGTTGTTAACTCCTTGCACTTTGTGTAATTTTATATCCAATCCACATAAACCCCAAATGGGTTTTAGTGTTCCACTATGTACGCTATAAGGAGACGAGCATTAGGCCTGGTGCGTGCTCCCTGTTCAAGGCTGGAAAGTGTGTTAATGTCTCCCAGGTTTATTGGCACTGCAGTACCATTACTCGGAAATGGAATAACCATATGCTGCATGATTTTGGTCAGTCAGATGTTTGTCCAGTGAGGTTGGTGCCCTTCACTGCAGGGCGGGGGAAACGGCCCCAAAAAGAAATTCAAAGCATGTCTCCAACTTCCTTAAGTTGACTTGATTTCATTAAAGACTGACCGATGGCCCGTTAATGGCTAATGCACCTTAAGCATGCAGAGTATTTAACTTTAAAGCTCAGATGTAAATTGCATTAATGGCCACCTACTTGCTCAATGTTCTGGGACCAACTGAAACCTGTGCATTAACTAATTTTGACACTGTCAAGTATGCAGACAGATTAATAGATGACACCAGATACTTCTGCTCACCTTAAAGTTTACCAATCCCCTCTCTTTCCAGGGGTCGAAAGATTTACGAGCCTCCCAGGTACATGACTGTTGCTCAGGCAGCTGAGGAACTCTTAGAAATACTACAGAACCGACGGGATCGGGGTGAGGAACTGGGTAAGTACCTCTTGCAAACCTTTCTGAATTGCATGAAAACCTCTGTTAACTCTGTGGTAGAACAATCTGGACGTCTGGCCGACTTGAGACAGATTAGATTTGATTGAAAGCTTTGTGAGCGTTGGTTTCACGGTTTATCCTATGTTCTTTCCTTATATGCAGCAATGACTGAAGACACAGTGTGTGTTGGTCTGGCTCGGATCGGAGCCGAGGACCAGACCATCCGTTCCGGGACGCTGCAAGAGTTGGCGTCCTGTGACCTGGGAGGACCACTTCACTCAATGATCATCAGTGGACACCTTCATCCTCTAGAGGTCGACATGTTGAAACTCTTCAGTGGTCCTGAGAGATTGAAGACCTTGAAGATGACCGATAGTTCCACATACGTTTCTTGATATCCAAGAAGCTTGTTCTCCTCAAGAAAAAGTTCCCTTTTCAATACTCCTGGGTTTTTTAAAAAGGAAAAGCAGACAAGGTGGTCCACGTGAGAGCCTAGAGCTGCTGGAGGGTCAGGAGAGCACACAAATTACATAATTGTTATTCCAGATCAAATTTGACCACTATAACCTTTAAGCACCAGTCGGGCCAGGGTTGCATTACATTAAAAGATTTAGATTAGGAGTGGGATGATTATTTTGACATGTGGTAGTCATGTTCTTGACTACCACACGATTAATGCCATCATCAAAAATAAATGATGGAATTATAATAGAGGAAATGGAAAAGGTTATTGTGGACCAACTGCATCTGGGTTGCATTAGTGCCTCTGAAATTGAGCTTTACTCGAAATTGGCATAATGTTTCTGTACATTTCTTAATGGAATTTTTCAGTAAGAATGAAAATAAGATAAATTGATTTTCATACAATAAAGACGCTCATTTCGTCGCCACTGATTGCATCAACACCCTACTTGTGGTTTGGCTACTTTCATCTACATCTTTGGTTTTGTTTGTGATCTCTCATTGCATAGAAAGTGAATAAAGCTATTGTCATAGTGCCTCTGAAATTGAGCTTTACTCGAAATTGGCATAATGTTTCTGTACATTTCTTAATGGAATTTTTCAGTAAGAATGAAAATAAGATAAAAGCGAATACTGAGATTCCTTTGAGCATGTCATAATGGATGAAAATTGATTTTCATACAATAAAGACGCTCATTTCGTCGCCACTGATTGCATCAACACCCTACTTGTGGTTTGGCTACTTTCATCTACATCTTTGGTTTTGTTTGTGATCTCTCATTGCATAGAAAGTGAATAAAGCTATTGTCTGAAAGTAGTTTGCCTCTGTCTGGTTTATTTACACAAAGACAAATTTGAGTTCACGTGTTGCATTTAGAGATTATTGGGTTTAAACATTTACTGGTTTAAGTGAAGGTTATATATATATATATATATCTTAACTTGGCAAACAAAGTTTAGCAACTGTTAATATACAATATAACTATACTGTCCTGAAAATACCTCAAAACTCTTCATCCTTTCAAACCCTTTCAAATGCAACTTAAAAAGTAAAAGCTGAAAAACAGAGTAAAAGGTGTATTTAGGTGAAACTCACTGGAGGAAGTCTTGAAAATCACAAGGAAATCTTGATAAATTTTAAACTGGAAAAAGTCTGTCTCCAGACAGAACTAGCCTTGATTAACTGTTTCCACCGATTACTTGAATGGAAATAAACCGTAATAGGCTCTGACATTTTACTGCAAATATGTTGGACTTGCCTACTGATGCTTGTACCTTCCTGTGCATAAAAAAAAAAAATCATGGAGTTTTTATAATTTCTATTCAAGTCATTCATCAAATGCATAAAAACAGCTGCTTCCGTGTCATAAATATGTTGGACTTGCCTACTGATGCTTGTACCTTCCTGTGCATAAAAAAAAAAATCATGGAGTTTTTATAATTTCTATTCAAGTCATTCATCAAATGCATAAAAACAGCTGCTTCCGTGTCACTCTGTCTATATGACAGGTTTTAGGAACTTGTTCATACAAATTTCACACCATGCATAAACAGCAAAGCCAAATGCAAAGGAATGTTTTAATGTAGACAGAACTCAAGGTCATAAAGATCCAGTTTTCATCGCATTCATGTTGACCATCAAACATGATGGTCCAAGCGATTGTCCATGATCATTTTTAAAAAGGCACTTAAGAAATGCAGACAAATGTTTGTTTACATAATGGCATTGGCGAACAAATTCTGCTCTTCTTTACAACTGTGCAACTGAAAATCAAAGCAGGTGAAGTACAAAAAGTCAATGAATCACATACTGCTATTTTTACAAATGTCCACTGAACTCCACATTCAATAATTAAAACCCCATTCTAATAATGGAAAAGGGCAGCAATTATGAGGAAAAGAAACAGTTTGTCGGGATTATAAAAATCAAAAGTATTGGGGAACTTCCAAAAAAAAAAAAATTTCAAATGATCGAGTGGGTGCACCAATGTGGCAAGTTCTTCCTTCCCTCAAAAACATCACATTGTTGTAGCTGGTCAGTTGTTTTCTGGTAAGAGTGGAGTCAGACTGCTGGACTGCACCAGCTCCATCTTGATCCAAGATGGAAGTGGAGCGACAGAAACCCAAAGAGAGATGGGTTGAGGTGGAGAATTTCCCCACAGCAGCACAGAAGGCCTTTGGTCCCAGGACTCCCAAAGATCAGGAGAAGTGTGGCGGACTTCTACATGGCTGCCACGTCAATCTGAACATACAGTTGTCTGACGCCAACCTGGGCACAGGGCAGAAAAGATCATGTAATGGAAACTTTGAAATGTCCCTTTATAAGTGAGATGAAGTTGTTAAAGCTCTGTTTTCCAATGGTCCCCACCTGTGTAAAAATGTTGTGCGTTTGGCTGAGAATCCATCTAGAATCTGCGTCAGGTGCCACAAGAAGTTTGAGTGTACCAATATACACATCTGTGCAAAGGGTCCAGAAGTGAGGTTCTTGGAGATTATAGACACCCTGAAGCTGCTGGACCTGCAGAGAACATTAGTGGTTAGCAAACACAACCCCAGTTTTTCTCAAAGATTCTGACGCTCATTAGGGTGCTTGGACTGTGGCAATCTAGAACTGTTTCAGGCAAAAACCTGGAACAGCAAGATTGAGGTCCTGACCCTCAATAGGGTGTCAAGATCCCATTTTTCAAATGTGGCTACATGGTTAGCTAGTTATGTTTCAGGACAACTTGGCTACAATTCCAGTTGATATCCCAGGTTTACTCTGTCTTTACAAGTAGCCAACTTTCACAAATAGGATCCAGAAGATGGAAATGACTTACCCTTTGGTAGCATTCAGGAAGGGTATGGTCCAGAGAAGGAGGCGTCCGTTGCATCAAGATCCCTATGGATTCCCTGAGCAGAGGAACCACACTGTGGGAAAGAGGGAGGCGAGAAATGAGTCGCCGTTCTATGAGACATGAACTCAATGGAGTGCCAAGTACTAGGCAAACTCTGGCAACAGGAAGGGATGCCACACATAAAAACGTCATTGGTTATGAATTGGCACATCACGTTATAAGCTGAGGAGAGGAAATTCTGTCATTATCATGACAAACAAGAACTCTTTTCATTAGGATTATTTCTGAGCATGCTCAACGTGGTCCAACATAAACTTGCCCATCTTATGGTTGGGGTGGAGTAACAGAGAGCTGTGCTGATGTCATTCCAACAGCTGTAGTGCGCGTGAGCCAGCAAGCAACCCTGAACAGATGAGGAAAGACATCCAAACCCATTCATTCTGCTGAAGAATCACTTGGCAGAAACGGTTGACCGGTTAAGAAAGGACTAGGACTATTTCTCTTCTAACCAGTCAGCCGTTTCAGCCCCATCAAAGCTAGGTCTTGGCTAGGCCAGCATCTTATAAAGTCATCAGTCCACCTTCAAACCTTCAAGGCCTGACCACTGCTCCATCTGGGAACCATTAGAGGATTCTTTGGTTTGGACTTTTTCCCCCCCCGTTCCTAATCTACTCTATCAGCCCCACGTTCTCCTGAACTCCTCCCTGTAACCCCAGCCTCAGTTTGGGACACGCCAAAGTGGAGAAGCTGATCATTGTCTCATTTGGACATTCATGAAACTGAAAGCAAATGTGGCATCAACAAGGATGCATTTCACAACATTTGCTAAACCTTGCTAAGACCTTGCTAAACACTCTTTGGCACACATTGCTGAAAAACTGCAACAATGTTTGCCTACAAAATATTTTGCCCCAAAATTGTTTTGATAACATTTTTAAAACTGCAATCATGTTACTCACAAGGCTTTGATTTCACAATAGTCGGGTCTTGACCCGTGAGGTTCCATAGACTTTTACTACCCTATATCGAGAGCATACTTGAGTAATATCAATATAAGCACTACGCTCCAGACTAATCTATAGCAATTCTGACTACTCGGCACACTTTATGGTCAAGTAACATAAGGTAATGTTTAAAATGCAACGCATGCAAGTATTTCTGTTCAATACTTCCCTGAAGATGACTGTGGTTTACCAAGCAATGTTTGCAAGCAAGCAAGCTTGTAATCTACACTAAGCCATATAGGAACATGAAAGCGGAGCCTGATTGGTCGATCTCATCCCTCTTTGAATCTATTAGCTTTAGTACACCTGGAAAGTAAAATAAATCAAGTCTACTGGCAGACTGACAAATTAGATCCATTCTGTCAAACCGCACATGTCAACTTTCTGAAGGTTTTTCTATAATTACCATATGTTTCCATCAACATGTACTGTGACAGGGCATCATAAAACTGGTCACTGTGCATTCCTCTCAGTAACCGGTGTGTTTGTTCCTCTTTTGGACAATAAAATGAAAACAGGAAAGTACTGGATGAGGGTACCTCAGACCTCTGACATCATACTATTGTTCCACACCTTCCTGTTCAGTGAAACGAAGGCACTCTTACTCACCGTTCGCTGGCGCTTGATCGATAACCTGCCCCGAAAACGCTGTAATGCAGTTACACAAGTGACTCAGCTGCCTGAAATACAATTACGTGCGAGCATCAAGGTTAAGCTGGCCAGTGACACAGACGAAATGTCACCACCTAGGTCAGGGTGACAATCAGGATAAAATATTTCTGCAAGGACGCTTGTAATCACCTATGGACTTTTTTGGAAACCAGGAAAACAGCTTGGAGTCACGCAGCACAAAGCAGTCACTCGTAAAAGCACACGCATTTCTAAATCACATGGAAATGATTGGTTATCACGCCCAGACAACCTGAGTACCTAACTGGAGCACAGAAATATTTATGACACCAGAACCACCGCAAGAATGAGGTAACTGTAGTGAAGTCTGCGTCTGAAACATTACAGTGGGAATAAGAGCAGGTACATTTAACTTGAGATTTATATGCAATATGACCAAACAAACTTTTCCATTTCTAGGGAAAGTAGTTATTGGGATTCCACCACAAAAAATGTAAGATGCTTTGCTGCTAGGAACCAACTGCACTCAAGCTATGGTGGTCATAACCACAGGATTGTATAGCTATTTGGCCTTGTGCATAAAATGTATGCCTGGATTCAAAGGCTCATTTTTATAGTTTGAGAGTCTGCAAATGTTCAAACATCTTCTGACCAACTCTACCAACACTTTACTACAAACGATCACTAATACTACAACTTTTTCCCCACATAGCTGATGGTCACAAAAGGTCCAATCTGAATGTAGAACACAATTTGTGTAAAACTGAATGAATCTCATTAACCATGTTTGGGTCATAACTGAATGATACAGCCCTCAGATAACATAAATTACTTATATATGCAGAGCTGAGTGTTAAATAAAGTGCTGTTGCATGTACATGTGGCTTGTTCCCCACCTGCACCAATACACC